GGCTCTGCAGCATGTGTACCCACATTGAGAAACACCCAGTGGCTCTGCAGCATGTGTACTCCACATTGAGAAACACCCGTGGCTCTGCAGCATGTACTCCACATTGAGAAACACCCAGTGGCTCTGCAGCATGTGTACTCCACATTGAGAAACGGCCTAAGTCATCAGTTGACATTCAGAGCAAGTCAACTGTGCATCATTGACATTCAACAGCACGTTCAAACAGACAAGTAATAGGTTATTAACCGATATTCAACCTTACTATCTGTAGATTGTGTCAACATCTTCAAAATTGACAATCAAACTACTCAAAATCAATCTGTCAGTTGAAAGTCAACAGGGTCATGTCGACTATCTGTTGATAATCTGTTGAGAGTCAAGATGTCAACTAAAGATGACATTAAGCATTAGTTGACGATCAACAGATAAGCAACTAAAGTTTAGTTGCTTATCTGGATCGTCAACTATCTAGAGTTGACTTATCAGCATACTTTTAGTAGGTTCTCCACTAAGCGTTTGTAGGCATGTGTTAGGACATCCAATTCAAGTGAAAAACTTGAGAACAGTAGAAAGTCTATAACCTATCAACAGAAACCATTCATCCACTAATTATATGCAACAGACATGGGAATAAAGCAAAACATTTTGCACAACTGATCACGAACAGTGGATAACTGAAGTCAATACCAGGCTATAAAGCACAGAACAAACACTATAGGCAGCATATCAGAGAAAGAAAGCTTTATAAGTAACGTACGAATTAAAATGAAAGGTGTTTACATACAGGTCAATTTGGAAGTACAAATCCTACGAAGCGCTCCAGGTCAAGTCATAATATCATATAGTATGTCGAAAAAAGTGAAAAAATGTCATAGTTAAAGCCAGACGACTTCAGTAGGCACCGATGAGCTAACCAAACAGGAAGTGGGACGGTATTAAGAGAGACAAACACGTTGTTGGTTTTAAACAATATTTATTGATAACTTTTGTGTTGTTTTTTACAATATATAATAATGTGATTGCGTTAGAAAGAAATAATAATTTAGTATAACACTTTTGTTTAATTCTGTAATGCTAAAGCTAACTAGCTACCAACACATGTTTGAGAAAATAAAACAATACGTTTATTTACTTTCAGAGGCTCTTCTTTTTACTTCATTTATTTAATATTGTAGTATACATAGGAAACATGTGTACTTTAAAGGTGGGGTCATTTTGGGAGAAACCAGCTCGAGATCGCTAGAATTTGAAAATGAAAACAGAGCCCCTCCAACACACACGAACGCGCACATGACAGTCACATGATCTGCAGTTGTGTTTAAGTATTAAACATTGCGTCACTGAGGCGGCAGCAGTTCCCTCACTAAAGTGTGTGTATGAGTGTGTGTGTTTGATCCGACAGTCAGCGCCCCCTGCAGGCGATCGATCTGATCTGCAGTCGGACGCGGAGTCTCGAAATGCAGCCGCAGCCAGGAGGCGCCTGAAAACACAAACACACACATTACACACATTACACACACACACACACACACACACACACACACAGACACACACACTGACAAAAGTAACAGATGTGTAATTAGGTAGATTTTGTTTGTTTATATACAGTAACCCATCATCGTTGACCTCTGACCTTTGCTGACTCTTTGACCCAGTGACACCAGAGCTCCGCCCCCACGCTGTGATTGACAGGTTTCCCACCTTCGATCGTCCCGCCCCCAATTTATGGAGAACTTCAGCTAACGCCAAACCATCGACGTCCAAAACCTCTCCTGCAGGACGAGAGGAAACTCACAATCTGTTCTTCATTTGAAATTCATCTGTTTGTTTCATTACAGAAGTACTCAGATCTTGTCCTTGAGTAAAAGTAGAAGTACTCAGATCCTGTCCTTGAGTAACAGTAGAAGTACTCAGATCCTGTCCTTGAGTAAAAGTAGAAGTACTCAGATCCTGTACTTGAGTAAAAGTAGAAGTACTCAGATCTTGTACTTGAGTAAAAGTAGAAGTACTCAGATCATGTACTTGAGTAAAAGTAGAAGTACTCAGATCCTGTCTTGAGTAAAAGTAGAAGTACTCAGATCCTGTACTTGAGTAAAGTAGAAGTACTCAGATCTTGTACTTGAGTAAAAGTAGAAGTACTCAGATCTTGTACTTGAGTAAAAGTAGAAGTACTCAGATCCTGTACTTGAGTAAAAGTAGAAGTACTCAGATCTTGTACTTGAGTAAAAGTAGAAGTACTCAGATCTGTACTTTAGTAAAAGTAGAAGTACTCAGATCTTGTACTTGAGTAAAAGTAGAAGTACTCAGATCTTGTACTTGAGTAAAAGTAGAAGTACTCAGATCTTGTACTTGAGTAAAAGTAGAAGTACTCAGATCCTGTACTTGAGTAAAAGTAGAAGTACTCAGATCCTGTCCTTGAGTAAAAGTAGAAGTACTCAGATCCTGTCCTTGAGTAAAGTAGAAGTACTCAGATCCTGTACTTGAGTAAAAGTAGAAGTACTCAGATCTTGTACTTGAGTAAAAGTAGAAGTACTCAGATCATGTACTTGAGTAAAAGTAGAAGTACTCAGATCCTGTCCTTGAGTAAAAGTAGAAGTACTCAGATCCTGTACTTGAGTAAAAGTAGAAGTACTCAGATCTTGTACTTGAGTAAAAGTAGAAGTACTCAGATTGTACTTGAGTAAAAGTAGAAGTACTCAGATCCTGTACTTGAGTAAAAGTAGAAGTACTCAGCTCTTGTACTTGAGTAAAAGTAGAAGTACTCAGATCCTGTACTTTGTAAAAGTAGAAGTACTCAGATCTTGTTCTTGAGTAACAGTAGAAGTACTCAGATCTTGTACTTGAGTAAAAGTAGAAGTACTCAGATCTTGTACTTGAGTAAAAGTAGAAGTACTCAGGTCTTGTACTTGAGTAAAAGTAGAAGTACTCAGATCTTGTACTTGAGTAAAAGTAGAAGTACTCAGATCCTGTACTTTAGTAAAAGTAGAAGTACTCAGATCTTGTTCTTGAGTAACAGTAGAAGTACTCAGATCTTGTACTTGAGTTAAAAGTAGAAGTACTCAGATCTTGTACTTGAGTAAAAGTAGAAGTACTCAGATCTGTACTTGAGTAAAAGTAGAAGTACTCAGATCTGTACTTGAGTAACAAGTAGAAGTACTCAGCTCTTGTACTTGAGTAAAAGTAGAAGTACTCAGCTCTTGTACTTGAGTAAAAGTAGAAGTACTCAGATCCTGTACTTAGTAAAAGTAGAAGTACTCAGATCTTGTCTTGAGTAACAGTAGAAGTACTCAGATCCTGTACTTGAGTAAAAGTAGAAGTACTCAGATCTGTACTTGAGTAAAAGTAGAAGTACTCAGATCCTGTACTTGAGTAAAAGTAGAAGTACTCAGATCTGTACTTGAGTAAAAGTAGAAGTACTCAGATCTTGTACTTGAGTAACAGTAGAAGTACTCAGATCTGTACTTGAGTAAAAGTAGAAGTACTCAGATCCTGTACTTGAGTAAAAGTAGAAGTACTCAGATCCTGTACTTGAGTAAAAGTAGAAGTACTCAGATCTTGTACTTGAGTAAAAGTAGAAGTACTCAGATCCTGTACTTGAGTAAAAGTAGAAGTACTCAGATCCTGTACTTGAGAACAGAGTAGAAGTACTCAGATCCTGTACTTGAGTAAAGTAGAGAAGTACTCAGATCCTGTACTTGAGTAAAGTAGAAGTACTCAGATCCTGTACTTGAGTAAAAGTAGAAGTACTCAGATCCTGTACTTGAGTAAAAGTAGAAGTACTCAGATCCTGTACTTGAGTAAAGTAGAAGTACTCAGATCCTGTACTTGAGTAACAGTAGAGTACTCAGATCCTGTACTTGAGTAAAAGTAGAAGTACTCAGATCCTGTACTTGTGTAAAAGTAGAAGTACTCAGATCTTGTACTTGAGTAAAAGTAGAAGTACTCAGATCTGTACTTGAGTAAAAGTAGAAGTACTCAGATCTTGTACTTGAGTAAAAGTAGAAGTACTCAGATCCTGTACTTAGTAAAAGTAGAAGTACTCAGATCTTGTCTTGAGTAGTAACAGTAGAAGTACTCAGATCTTGTACTTGAGTAAAAGTAGAAGTACTCAGATCTGTACTTGAGTAAAGTAGAAGTACTCAGATCCTGTACTTGAGTAAAAGTAGAAGTACTCAGTCTGTACTTGAGTAAAAGTAGAGAAGTACTCAGATCCTGTACTTGAGTAAAAGTAGAAGTACTCAGATCTTGTCTTGATAGTAAAGTAGAAGTACTCAGATCTTGTACTTGAGTAAAAGTAGAAGTACTCAGATCTGTACTTGAGTAAAAGTAGAAGTACTCAGATCCTGTACTTGAGTAAAAGTAGAAGTACTCAGATCCTGTACTTGAGTAAAAGTAGAAGTACTCAGCTCTGTACTTGAGTAAAAGTAGAAGTACTCAGCTCTTGTACTTGAGTAAAAGTAGAAGTACTCAGATCCTGTACTTTAGTAAAGTAGAAGTACTCAGATCTTGTTCTTGAGTAACAGTAGAAGTACTCAGATCTTGTACTTGAGTAAAAGTAGAAGTACTCAGATCTTGTACTTGAGTAAAAGTAGAAGTACTCAGATCCTGTACTTGAGTAAAAGTAGAAGTACTCAGATCCTGTACTTGAGTAAAGTAGAAGTACTCAGCTCTTGTACTTGAGTAAAGTAGAAGTACTCAGATCTTGTACTTGAGTAAAGTAGTAGAAGTACTCAGATCTGTACTTGAGTAAAAGTAGAAGTACTCAGATCTTGTACTTGAGTAAAAGTAGAAGTACTCAGATCCTGTACTTGAGTAACAGTAGAGTACTCAGATCCTGTACTTGAGTAAAGTAGAAGTACTCAGATCCTGTACTTGTGTAAAAGTAGAAGTACTCAGATCTTGTACTTGAGTAAAAGTAGAAGTACTCAGATCATGTACTTGAGTAAAAGTAGAAGTACTCAGATCCTGTACTTGAGTAAAAGTAGAAGTACTCAGATCCTGTACTTGAGTAAAAGTAGAAGTACTCAGATCCTGTACTTGAGTAGTAGTAAAAGTAGAAGTACTCAGATCCTGTACTTGAGTAAAAGTAGAAGTACTCAGATCTGTACTTGAGTAAACAGTAGAAGTACTCAGATCTTGTACTTGAGTAAAGTAGAAGTACTCAGATCCTGTACTTGAGTAAAAGTAGAAGTACTCAGATCCTGTACTTGAGTAAAGTAGAAGTACTCAGATCTTGTACTTGAGTAAAAGTAGAAGTACTCAGATCTGTACTTGAGTAAAAGTAGAAGTACTCAGATCCTGTACTTGAGTAACAGTAGAAGTACTCAGATCCTGTACTTGAGTAAAAGTAGAAGTACTCAGATCCTGTACTTGAGTAACAGTAGAAGTACTCAGATCCTGTACTTGAGTAAAAGTAGAAGTACTCAGATCCTGTACTTGAGTAAAGTAGAGAGTACTCAGATCCTGTACTTGAGTAACAAGTAGAAGTACTCAGATCCTGTACTTGAGTAAAAGTAGAAGTACTCAGATCCTGTACTTGTGTAAAAGTAGAAGTACTCAGATCTTGTACTTGAGTAAAAGTAGAAGTACTCAGGTCTTGTACTTGAGTAACAGTAGAAGTACTCAGATCCTGTACTTGAGTAAAAAGTAGAAGTACTCAGATCCTGTACTTGAGTAACAGTAGAAGTACTCAGATCCTGTACTTGAGTAACAGTAGAAGTACTCAGAATCTGTACTTGAGTAAAAGTAGAAGTACGCTCAGATCCTGTACTTGAGTAAAAGTAGAAGTACTCAGATCCTGTACTTGAGTAAAAGTAGAAGTACTCAGATCATGTACTTGAGTAAAAGTAGAGTACTCAGATCATGTACTTGAGTAAAAGTAGAATTAACTCAGATCCTGTACTTGAGTAAAAGTAGAAGTACTCAGATCTTGTACTTGAGTAAAAGTAGAAGTATCCAGATCATGTACTTGAGTAAAAGTAGAAGTACTCAGATCCTGTACTTGAGTAAAAGTAGAAGTACTCAGATCTTGTACTTGAGTAAAAGTAGAAGTACTCAGATCATGTACTTGAGTAAAAGTAGAAGTACTCAGATCCTGTACTTGAGTAAAAGTAGAAGTACTCAGATCTTGTACTTGAGTAAAAGTAGAAGTACTCAGATCTTGTACTAGAGTAAAAGTAGAAGTACTCAGATCCTGTACTTGAGTAAAAGTAGAAGTACTCAGATCTTGTACTTGAGTAAAAGTAGAAGTACTCAGATCATGTACTGAGTAAAAGTAGAAGTACTCAGATCCTGTACTTGAGTAAAAGTAGAAGTACTCAGATCCTGTACTTGAGTAAAAGTAGAAGTACTCAGATCTCTTGTAAAATTAGAAGTATTCAGATCTTATACTTAGAGTACTACAAAGTAGAAGTACCAGAGTGTAGGAATACTCTGTTACAGTAAAAGTCCTGCATTTGTTTGTTTGTTTTGTTTAGATAGATAGATAGATTGATTGATTGATTGATGGTACTTTATTGATCCCAATTTGGGAAATTGTTGTTGTTACAGCAGCATAAAAGGCATTTTACAATAAAACAAAACTACAAAATATACAAGAATAGAAAGAAAAATAAAATAAAATAAAATATAAAATATACATGCAGATATGATATATGTATATACAAATATACCGTCTGTCGGCATCTTCAGCTCCATCTGATGCTCAGCTTTCCTCAGGACGCTGTAGTAATCTGAGTGGGCGGAGCATAGAGACCGAGCCGTCTCATTGGCTACTCCCTGAGCCTCCATCATGGCCTGGAACTTTGAGAGAGCAGCTCCACCAATCACAGCGTCAGAAATCTTCCTCCTGCCCTCTGATAGGTCGGACACAGAGCCAGTCATCTGCTAGCAACAAGCCGCCTAAAAAAATAACAATAATATATTAAAACATTTTCTTTTTTTCCTGAAACAATTCAAACTAATATATTATTGTTTGTTTTTTTAGGAACATTTCGTATTAAAATTATTATACATTTTTTATGTTTCATTAATTTATTTATTGAGTAATTTATTTATTTTAAGCCTTGCCATTATCATAAATAATTACTTTGTCTATAAATAAATAAATAAATAAGCTATAAAAATTAGGGAAATTTTTTAAATATGATTCGTAATAAAAAATACTTATTATTGGAATATCAAAATAGATAAATAAATGTACTTATCATGCGCTCGTTATGGTCTTAAAGGCTTTTACTATCCCTTAAGGGGACCTATCATGCAAAATGCACTTTTGTACGTCTTTCTACATGAATATGTGTCCCCGGTGTGTCAGGGAACTCACCAAGTGTCAGAAAACACAACCCTCTCTTTTTTTCCTCCAAAATCTCTAAAAACGGGCTGCAAACGGATCTGATACAGACTGATACAGATTTGAAAATAGTCTGACGTCAGTGACGAGGAGCTCCGCCTATATGGCCAACTCTCCACCCAATCAGGGGAATGAGAGGTTGGCCGTGGCATGGTAACAGCATGGTAACATGACGCTCGTAACTTGGGCCCCCTCCTTTGCAGGGGGGCGTGGTCAGCTGCAGCGCATGCAAAGACAGGGTGGAGGAGAGCAAAATAGAGCGAAATGAGGCATGGCTAAAATGCATGATCTGTTTGGTATTTTGAAAAAGAAACGTATAAATATACCTTATATAGGTATGGCCCTACAATATATTATTCAAATATAGCATGATAGGTCTCCTTTAAATCATCTTATCTTATGTCTTTAAACCCTGACTTTAGTGAGGCCTTCAGGTCCAGATATAACGTGGTTACCCAGAGTTGTGACGAGCTCCATCAGGTCTTCAGGTCCTCGCCCCTTCAGCGTCTCCAGAGACTCCATCACTTCCAGACTGTTGCCCACACATCGACCAATCACAGCGTCCATACAGCTGAGCGCCGCCGCGTGCGCTATGCCCCAGCAAGTTCCCAGCATGCACCTGGATAACGCAACTATTGTTAGTAAATCAAAATTAATTATAAATAATAAAAACTTCAGCTAACAATAGAATAATAAGTCAAAATAATAAAAATAAAGCATTAATAATAATAGTAATAATAAATAAATAATAAATAATAAATAATAAATAATAAATTATAAAGTACAAAAAAACCCTATTATTTGTAAGCATGTATGCAAAGCTTTGAAGTATTGGTTATATAAATATAAATACTCACTAGTGACTGAGCTAGCTCTCTAGCGCTGTCCAAGGTCTTTGTACAGAGCGGCTCGTCCAAACTTCACGTCCAGAACCAGCCGCCGACAGAGACTCGGCTCCTTTCTTTGAGACGATCGAGGCTGGAACAGAAACATCCCATATATTTACATTTATATTTATGAGACAGAGTATATTTCCCTGGTTATCCCTGGTTATCCTGGTTAGGGGGGGTTCGAGGGGCCCCCAGTGAATGTTTGCCTAGGGCCCCCACAGACTCTAGAATCGGCACTGACTGGAGCACTCTTATGTCATGTTAGTAACTACAGAATAAAGCTGCCATTATAATAGAGAAATAAAGAAATACAAATAAATATAAACAGAAAACATTTATATTAAAATAAATAAATTCAAAAATAAGTTGTTAAATATAAACATGACAAAAAAATAATTATTCTAAATTATGTATTTACTTATTTGTTGATCTTTATTTTAAATAACTAAATAAAATATATAAGGGAACGTATTAAAGCCATGTGAAGAAGACTTTGGGGTATACATTCATATTAAAATCAGTCATTTAAATATTTCATTAGTCATTTTATTATAATAATGTCAGTGGTTAGGCCTCCATCAGTAACCCCAGTACCAGTGATGAGAGGCAGGCTGTTGACGGTGCTGGTGGCGTCTCTCAGGTCGTACAGGACTCGATCTGCAGGGACCAAACTCTCCCGTCTGACCCACAATGCAACAGCCCACCGAGCCCAGGATCTCCAGGATCTGCACATTTAAAGAAATTATAATGAATGAAATACACATCAATTATTTTTACTACATGTATTCAGGCATGTGTTGTTATTTTATATTTTAATATGTTTTTTTTGTATATTCAGTTTTTTTTTAAATTCTTTTGTTAGTTTATTTCTAAAACAATTTCTGGAACAAGAAATTTCCTTACAGATTAATTAGTTAAATGTTATTTTATTTGGAAAATCCTGCAAAACATGAAGTGGGTTTTACGGCCGCCGCCTTCTATCTGCCCATTAACCTTTCAGTAAGTGTTTGCAGCTGTGTGTGATATGTTATATGAGCTGTGCCATTGCCCAGACGCCATTGGATGCCGGCTTCCTGTCCCTCCCCGGTAGGCGTGACCGAAGATCTGGATTGGAGCATGCCGGGCCTGACTCTCCAATCCCCGCACACACCTTCCGGGGACAACTACAAGAATGTGTGTGTGTCTCAGTTAGTCGAGAGAGGGTCTGAATCTGTGGCAGATGGCTCTCGGTACATTCGGGTGATAGCCCGTTAACAGTGGTTAACTCAGTTGGTTGTATATTTGTGCTTGTTCTTGTCACTCTGGTTATCTTCTAATACACGTTAACTGTGGTTAACTTGTACCCAGGCTGTGTTTTACTCTCAATAAACAACTTCCAATTGGACCAATTCAACTGGTTATATGTTATTTCCTCTTTCCACGAGTCGGGGCGTAACTTAAATGGGGGCTCGTCCGGGATTGAAGCCGTGTCCTCTCGCGCCCCAAGCGAGAATATACCCTAGACAGCCGGGGACGTAACAGGGGGGAACGTATCCATCCCTACATGTATTATTTATCATGAATCCTGACTACACGTAGTATCCCTGGTTATTCCTGGGACTGACGACTGCAGGGTGAATGTCGAGGTAATGTTGTTTACTTTGGTTGGAAACAGTCGCACTAAATCAACATAATGTGAAGTCAAAGTCCCGAAAGGCCATAAAACCAAACACACACTGAATGGTAAGCGCTAACTTGTTGTTGGTTCCGAGAATGAGTTAGCAAAGAGAACAAAGTGCTGCAGGAATGACGTCTTAAACCCAGATGTGACATCACTTCCTGGTTCCCTGGTCTGGAGGTCAATGGTTTTCTGATGTTTTGTAGCCTGAAATAAGGTCTGTGGTTAACACAAGCTGAAGAGATTTTAAGTCCACGACATAAGATACGTCAGTAAATACCCCAAAGGTGAATAAAAAATATAATAATATGAAATATAACATAATATAGGTTGTTTGCAACCTGAGCAGCTGATTGGTGGATGTTGAATCCAGGGAATTGACTCCAGTTTATCCAGAGTTCCTCCTGTGTGAGCTAAGCCCCGCCCACTGATCATCGGCACCTGAGAACCACACCTGGGCTCATTATGACATCATAGACACACACCTGAGGTCATTATGACATCATAGACAACACACCTGAGGTCATTATGACATGATAGACACACACCTGAGGTCATTATGACATCACAAACACACACCTGAGTTCATTATGACATCAAGACACAACCCTGAGGTCATTATGACATCCTATAACCACACCTGAGGTCATTATGACATCATAGACACACACACCTGAGGTCATTATGACATCACAAACACACACCTGAGGTCATTATGACATCATAGACACACACCTGAGGTCATTATGACATCATAGACACACACCTGAGGTCATTATGACATCACAAACACACACCTGAGTCATTATGACATCATAGGAAAACACACCCTGAGGTCATTATGACATCACAAACACACACCTGAGGTCATTATGACATCACAGAGACAGTGTCATTATCAGCAGACAATATCAGAAACATTCGTGATGTGGAATTTCCAAAAATAAATTCCCTCTAAAATGCCACAAAATGGGCTGTGTTCCCATCACAAATTAAGATTGAAGAATGTGTAAGAATGGGACTTCAAAATAAAAGCCAATTAAATGTCTTAAATGAGCTGTGTTCCCTCCAATTCAGATTTGTTTGTTAGAATAAAAATGTTGTGATCTTACGCAGCAAATAGTTAAATCTAACCATTATGATTTTCAACTTTTTTTAAAGATCAAGATATATATTCTTCAACATGGCAAAGCCTAAAAATAACTTGATGTAGTAGATTTATCAATATCAGGAGATTTGGAAGTGGAATTTCAAAATAAAAGCCATAAGGCATGTCACATCAAATTCAAAAGAGGAAAAATATAAAAATATGGAGATGTAGTATATTGTATATTATAATAAATAAGTTTACATATATAGGTATATCATATTTTTACCTTACAGCCGCAGGCAGCTAGCGCGGGCGCTAACACCAAACTGACTTTATCTCCGACGCCTCCTGTTGATTGTTTGTCCACCACAAGCCCCGCCCACTCCTTCGGCCATGACATCACTTCCCCCGATGACATCATCTCGCGGGTCAGCGTCTCGACCTCTTCGGGGACCATTCCTTCTGCAGATTGGCCATCAGCATGGCGCCTGAACGAAGGAAAATGGTGATGAAACAGCATCAGGTTGGACCGTGGAAGTTTTAAAAAAACTCCAGTCCACTAAAATGTGTTGACGTTTTTGAGCTGATGCACAAAATGTCCCATAATGAGAAGCCTCAAACAGTCCACAAACACTTCTGAATTAAACTCAGCGTGTACTCATCAAGGCAAATGATAATCAGTGTTATTACATGGCTTAGTTTACTCGATTGTGATTGGTTCAATTTGAACAATCCAGGGGTTGTTAATTTTCGCTAACAGACTGTTGTTAAGTAGAACAGACGTTGCTAAGGATAACAGACTGTCGCTAAGGAGAACAGACTGTTGCTAAGGATAAACAGACTGTCGCTAAGGAGAACAGACTGTTGCTTATGAGAACAGACTGTTGCTAAGTAAAACAGACTGTCGCTAAGGAGAACCGACTGCTGCTAAGGAGAACGACTGTTGCTAAGGATAACAGACTGTTGCTAAGGGAGAACAGACTGTTGCTAGGAGAACAGACTGTCGCTAAGGATAACAGACTGTTGCTAAGGAGAACAGACTGTTGCTAAGGAGAACAGGACTGTCGCTAAGGATAACAGACTGTTGCTTATGAGAACAGACTGTTGCTAAGTAAAAACAGATTGTCGCTAAGGAGAACCGACTGCTGGCTAAGGAGAACAGACTGTTGCTAAGGATAACAGACGTTGCTAAGGATAACAGACTGTTGCTAAGGAGAACAGACTGTTGCTAAGGATAAACAGACTGTCGCTAAGGAGAACAGACTGTTGCTTATGAGAACAGATTGTTGCTAAGTAAAACAGACTGGTCGCTAAGGAGAACCGACTGCTGCTAAGGAGAACAGACTGTTTGATAAGGAGAACAGACTGTTGCTAAGGAGAACAGACTGTTGCTAAGTAAAACAGATTGTCGCTAAGGAGAACCGACTGCTGCTAAGGAGAACAGACTGTTGCTAAGGATAACAGACTGTTGCTAAGGAGAACAGACTGTTGCTAAGGAGAACAGACTGTCGCTAAGGATAACAGACTGTCGCTAAGGATAACAAGACTGTTGCTAAGGATACAGACTGCTGCTAAGGATAACAGACTGCTGCCTAAGTAAAACAGACTGTTGCTAAGTAGAACAGACTGTCGCTAAGGAGAACAGACTGTCGCTAAGGAGAACAGAACTGTCGCTAAGATAACAGACTGTTGCCTCGGTAGAACAAGACGTTAAACAGTTTCTTTTACCTGTCTGACAGTCCCTGAATCGTTTGTTGTAACAGCGTCAATAAATTGTTTTAATTTCTTCATTCGCCAGCGCTTCTCCATCTCTTTTCTTCCTGATCAGATCCTGGACGGACGTCATGGCGACCTGGAAAAAAACAGGTTAGAAAGACGCACTGAAAATAATGCTAATGTTATTCTGCTCATGGTTTCAACGCCATTAGTTTCTGCAGAATCATTTCCTCTTAAAGATCAGATGTAATAAACGTATAAATGAAAGTGGCTGTAACACACACACACACACACACAACACACACACACACACACACACACACGCACACACACACACACACACCACACACACACACACACACACACACCCACACACACACACACACCACACACACGCACACACACAGCATCGTACCTGTTCCCAGTAGATTCAGACTGAGTTTTCTCACAATGAAACAGTCACAGGTAAAGAGTCCGTCGGCCAATAGGAGAGCAGGGAGGAGAGGGCAGCCAATCAGGAGGCAGCTCTGGTTTTACTCAGTGTTCACAACACACAGGGCAGTAAGTTGAGTCCTGTCACTGCGAATAACAAAGTTTCCCTTTAAGCTGAATTAAATCTCTGACTGTCTGACCTGTTTTAGTTTTTGTGGATTCGTTTTAATTGAGAATTTTACGATCTGTAACTGAAAAAAAAATTGACGAATAAATACAAATGAATAATAATAAAAATAGCTATATATAAAAATAAAAATAAATTAAAGGAGAAGAAAGCAAATTAAAATACAAAACAAATAATAAAATATTTGTTTTAACCCTCAAATATCCAAATATATATGAATAATATATACAAATAACAATATATATTATTCAAAAGAAATATGCCTAAATGAAATGGGGTAGAAAAGCCATTTTGTTTAATCTTTAAGTAACTAAACGATATATATTATATTATTGGAGTATAGGACAAAATTATATTATGAATTCTATAGTATAACAGATGCTTTTATATCCCTTAAGTCTGTTGCATTTTAGGGGCGTTTTCACTTTAAGTATATACTAATAAAAGCTATTTTAATTCTAAATGTTTGTGTGTATTTATATATTATGTCTGTGTGTGGGGGGGAGGGTGCGCTTCCTTGTGCAATCCTGTATTATATAAATGATAATAAAGCTGGAGACCTTGAACCAGCGACCCTCGTCTCCGTGAGCAGGAAAGGTGGAAAAATGATAAAAGAAAGATTGCATAACGACTGTATACAGTATTTCATTGTACATTATTGTCTATTATATATATGTATTTTTTCTTATTTTTGCATTTTACTTGCACTTTTATGTCTTTTGCGATATTATATTTCCTTTTATGTCGTAAAATGGCTGTAGGAACATCTTATTGTGCAAAATTACAATCATGTTGCACCTTCAAAGACTGAAAACAAACAACTTGTAAATCACTACATGTTCTCTATGATTGTAAAATAATGATACAGTATAATACGTACTGTCTCCAAGTACAAGTGCTCTTAACTGTCTCAATAAGCTTGTCATTTATTAACCTGGTTTCAGCGTCTAGACCAGGGGTGTTTCTCAATGTCGAGGACGCTTCCTTGGTAGGGGACATGTCTTCCAGAGTCAGGTCCTTCAGAAGCGAGGCAAGAATCCTTCCTAGCCTCGGAAAACGAAGAATGGTGGGAACTGGCTAACAGGTGTGCGTCATATGCGAGGCCCCGCCTTAAATGGAGCGCGATTTCCCGCCAAAGATTTGGGTCCGTGTGGGCAAAGCATTGTGGGGGATTTCAAGACCCGCGGAGGATACACATGAGCAGCCTCGAAATTTCCCGCAACGAAGGACGCCGGCCTCGGTAGGATTCCAAGCATCCTGGATATTGGAACAGTCCTTCGGCGGGACTCGATGACGTAGCATCCTTGAAATAGTGGCTCTGAAGCATCCTTCCTCCACGTTGAGAAACACCCCAGGTCAGAGGTGAGCGCTCTTATTGTGAAAGAACCACACAGGAAGTCCTCAGGGTGTTTTTAAACTTTGTAATAAATGACCGTTTATTATAAAGATTACAATCTGTTGCGTTTTGCAGAGCTCATCGGTTGTCATGTGTGTGGCTCTTCAGTTTTTAGAAAAGGGAAGAAAATAAAACTACAAAGTACACACGCCACTCACTCCAGAAGAAACTACAAACATCCTGTAAAAAGAGGAAGCTAGAGAGGATGAGGAGGAGGAGGAGGAGGAGGGAGGAGGAGGAGGAAGGTAACAATAAACCATAATAACCAGGTGAGTGTCAGGAGGAGGAAGGTGTCACATGTAGGTTAGAAAAGCCAGGATTCTCAGCCAATCAGCACTTTCTCTGATATTTACTGCTATAAATGCTTTCAATTCAGCAGCGATGGAAGTAGGTCTTTTGATTGTAAGTCAAAGTAGAACTGTTGGGGAAATATTATCCAAGGTCCATAACTGTGACCCAGTGTATCAGTTCTGTCCTGACTGAGCGCACGCACCTGTAGCCTTGGCTGCTGTGCTCTCAGTGTTGTGTCTCCTCCTGCTCCTGCCTGATGGCGTCAGCTGATAGAGGTGTTATGCTTCTATCTTGTTATGCACAATGTTGATTACTCTCTCTGAACTAGCTGAACACACGGGTCTGAGGGAGAGTTCTTCAGAATTGACGTGGCAAACTCTACCGTGAAGTCAGAACCTCTGGCTCTTGGACTTGTTTTGTGAATTCTCTCCGGCCGAAGCTCTAAATAAACCCATCAGTGTTTGACATCAAAGCTCCCAGCTCTCCCCGTGTCTCCTTTGAGTCGATGACTCCTCCTGCATTGCTGCACAGAAGTAGAACTACATTATCAAAATACCCCAAATACCCTCAAATGTATTTCTAACGGTCTGTTTTAGCAGCTTCCTCAGATCTATCCTGGATCTTCCATTTATCTTTCCTTCTTATCCATTAGATCTTCTCTGAACTATCCTAGATCTTCTTCAATCCCCCCTGATTTCTCCATCCTTGGGGCCCATAGATAAAAAGATTCTGAAACAACCGTTGGGAAATAACTGAAACGGCCTTGGTGGAGTTAATTAAACACACTCTGGGTATTTCGCATCACTGCTAATTAGCCACAGAAACTCTTTCCTTTGGGAATGATGCTAGCATTAGCTAACACACATTTAGCTGAAAGACAGATGAACAAGAAACATGTCCTCTGCTAAGTAATCCATGTTTACATCTTAGAAGAACCACCTGATTTGATTTTAAAAGCAGAATTTTTAAATAAAATAGGGACTACTTTCCCAGTGGAAGAACACCAGCAAGAGATATTTTAGGTTTGCTGGCTTCTGATTGGCTGAGAAATCCGACAACAAATGAATGACCTCATGTTTGTCTTAGTGTACGGGGGGGGGGGGACCTGAGGTCAGAGGTTAAGAGTCACATGACCTCCCCATCACTGATTATCATCGTTACAAATGCAGAGAAAGCGACAGCCCACGTCTCATTCTGTGGAAAACTTGTACAGTAGACTATAGTCCTTTATAATATATACTACACGTACAGAATGTGTGTCCATGTGATATTCACTCAGTGTAAACAGCTACACACGAGCTCTTCTCCAGAGGATTTAGAAACATGTTGTGGTGGTTTTTATTGGTAAGCTAACGTCAGCTAAAGAATCTGGACAATTTCAGAACTTTTCCAAACCAACAATCGGAAAAGTTTGCCTCCCTTAGCAGCGTTTGGGCCGAGTTAACAGAAGTGAGCAAATTCCATGTCTTTGAACTTCGACAATTGTTCCTAAAACCCATTATTTCAAATCCCAAATGATCTGAAAGTTGTCCAATAGCCCGTAAACCTCAACCAAAAACCATTGTTCCCAAAATGGCCATTGCTCAAAAATACTCAGTTTCCCTGTGATGAACGCAAACACAGGAGTCATTATTTAGGAGCAAATCGAATTTCACAATTTCTGATTCCTTATTTGGCGAAAGCCCTAACGCTAACCCTAACCAGCCCTAATTGGTCATTACTGATTGGCTAACTTGGTTGTATTTACGCATTAAAGGTTATATTCCTTTAGGTTAAGGGTTAGAATATCACAGTAAAACATTTGGACTTTGGAACAATGGCATGGTAAAAACCTCTACGTACATTTGATGCATTTTTCCTAAAGTGGGACGAGAAGCACTTTGTAACGAACTAGTCAGTCTTAAGGTTACCTCGAAATTCAGCATCAGCTGTGTCAATTAATTCAAGGGTGCTTGTGTCAATTGGGAAACTTGGGAAAACAAAACCCCTCCCACAAAAAATACACATTATTTGGTACTATAAAAAAACCTCACTCTTAAATACCCAGAAGTAAAATGGTAAAATTCAGGAGAAATATTATCGGATCAAATCTGAGATTATAAAGTTATACATTTGCAGGAAAAAAATGGTAAATTCTCTGTAAAAATGGAAAAAAAGAATCAGGATGTTGTAACGTCTATTCCCTTAACTAATTCCTTATTTTAATCGCACACAATTTGATTTAAATACCAGAAGATATTCAAATTTACTCGTAAATATAACATTTGAATATTACAAATTCAGAGATTTGTCTATTTTCCCTCCCCTCCCCCTTCTTCTCCGTAATTATTTGGAACTTCAATAAATGGATAGCATGATAAAGTTAATATAGATAAACATTTATAAACTCATACAAGTGGAGTTAGAGTTATTAATAAAGTAAACTGAAGATAAACAGCTGATGTGTGGCTGTTTACAAAAAGGCTGAATATCACAAAAGCCTTTTAGACTTTCAGTCTACCAAAATATTCCAGTATACATTTCATCATTTTACTATACTTATATATTACACTATAGCTACATATTCTAGGATAATATATATTATACAGACTATAAAGTCTACTGTATTGTGCTGTACAAAGACTATACAATCTAGAACTCTCTCAGGAAAATGGGCAGCCCGTGAACTTTACAAACTTTGGGATTCATGATTGTGGTTCGGCTCGAGTTCAGGTACTTTCGGCTGGGAGTAAAAAGCGATATATATAAACGCGGTTATATTCGTTGTTTTGTGGAAACAGGCACTGGCAAGTTGATTGTGCTTTAGAAAGGGGGGATTCAAGAGGAACATGTCAGTGAGATTGTGTCGTTAAATACTGTGTCAAGATATTTGGGAATAATGGAGTTGTTGTTGTCTCCGTTAAAGTCATAATTAACTCAGATTCCTAATTAAAGTAGAAAAAAGTTAAAGAAATACACCTTTTAGTGACTTCAGATATTTAGATTCACTTGTCATTTATATTCTTTATGGTACAGATGTAGAAACTACATTTTAAAATTTAGAGAAATGGTGTTAAATGAACTTTATTTTAAGTATAAAGGTGTCAGCTAACAATGCTAAAAGGCTAGCATTAGCTTTTTATTAATTTCTAATTAAATGCTTTTTTTTTTATAAGGCTGGGCAATATATCCGATGAATTTGATGA